CCCATAAAGCAAAGAATGTGAAACAACATTGTTGATCAGGCGCCGTTGCGGTGCAAACATCGCGAAGAACAATATGAAGTTCGACTGTGGTATGGAGTAATCCTCATGGAAAGAATAAAATTCTTCCAATATAATCGGCATGAAGTAAACCAATGTGACTATCAAAGGTTGTGTTGTGGCAGAAATTGGTATAAAAAAATAATTTGTTTTAAAAAAAATTGGTTTAATAAAAAAAATTGGATAATAAAAAAAATTGGTGTTAAAAAAAATAAATTGGCTAAAAAAAATAAAAAAAAATGGCTGAAAAAAATTGGTTTAAAAAATGGTTTTAAAATAAATAAATAAATGGTGTTAATAAAAAAAATATGGCTCAAAAATAAGAAGGGGATGGGCTGATGAGAAGGAGGGAGGAGGAAGGAGGAAAGGGCGGCTGAAGAGAAGGTACCGCAGTCAAGAGGACTACAGTGGGAGAGAGTTGCGGATGGGAAGTAGATGAGTGCGGATGAGAATGATAGTTGCGGTAGGTGACAACGCTTGAGAAAGGTAGGTACCGAAGGGAGTATGGCTGGGTAGTAGCGTAGGTTGGCTGCGTTCACGGAAAGAAAGTTGAGTGCGGTGCGAAGGTGCGGTATGCGAAGCTGTAGTCCGAGCTGTGGTTCGAATGCAAAAGAAGGTTGCGGTAGGCAAGGACTGCGGTCCGAGAAAAGAAGAGGAGGCTGCGGGTACAAGGTCTGAGAGAAGTACCGCAGTTAAGAGGACTTCGGTAGCTGAGAAGGGTGCCGCAACTGAGAGGGACTCCGGTAGCTGAGAAGGGCTCCGCTACCATGACTAAGAGGGGTACCGCAGAGGCTTCTCAGGAGGCTCCGGGATGCAGTTTTTGGGCTGAGGTTCTGGGACCCGAGGAGGGCTGGGCTGATGATGAAAAATGCTATTTTTCATGAAAAATGATACGGAAAAGGCCATTTATTCATATTTTAATGAGGGAAATCTTTTCTAAAGCATTTTGGGTCAAAAAGAGGTGTTGGGAAGGCAAAAGGTGGAGTGTGTAGGGGTTTAAAGGGACAAAGGTGATGAGATTGGACAAAGTCACATGGTTTTTACTTGGGAAGGTAAATAAAGGTGGAGTACTCTTTACCCAAAAGAGTAACAAGGACATGGTGCTTTTGCAAACAAATAATCACGTCCAATACATTTGAAATGAAGATCAATCAGCAACTTTAAAGAACATAAAGGAGTTCATACATTTTGAAATGAGCTCAAATATTGTTGGGAAAAAGAATCTTTAAAGAAAAAATGTTTTTCTCCACTCTGTTCAATAAAAACCCCAAGATATTTTGTGTCTCATTTCCAAGAATAAAAACCTCTTGGAACAAATTATTCAACAGTTTTAGAGACCACAAAAATCTTTTCTCCCTTTTTCTTCTTCATTTCTTCAACATAATAAGAACATTTATGAACATGGATTTTCCAACAGAAAATTGAACAAGCAATCAACAACTTTTTTATTCTTCTAAGCTTGAATCAACACATAAAAATAGAAGAACTTATCATAAAAATTTCCGGTTTGGACTTGAAAATTCTTGCAAAAATCCGAAAAATCTTCAAGATAAACACCGACCGGGAGTCGTTCCCTTGAACTAGTCACTTGAACATTCAAGTTACGGCTCTGATACCAATTGTTGTAACCCATTTTGACGATCGGTGGATGCAGAATAATGATATCACGAGATTTAACGATCATAAAAATATAAATGAAGAACATGAAGATGAGTAGTTCCATAATCACTAGAAAAGAGATAAAAGATAATACATGAAGAACATTGTTGGGAGAGATAAATCTCCCTTGGTGGGAGAAATCCCACCACACTTTCTCTCTCTAGAAAAACTAGATTGTGAGTGCACTCTTTTTCATATTACATGACCATCTTTCTCTATTTATAGGAGAGAGAAATCCCAACAATACAATAAAGGAAAATAATAAACCTAACTATCACTCATAATTTGTAGAGCATTTACATGCTCCAACACACCCATTAAGCACCTAATCACTAGAGTTACTCATCCAAACTTTCTAGACGGGTTTCCTACACCTATTGTGTCATAAAAATTATAGGTTTATGGACATGCATGTCCCTTCCATTTTAGGTAAAAAAAACATGGAAATAAGGAACTCAAAGCTTGAGCATGGGACCAAAACTCCAAAAATCCTCAGATCTGGAACATATGACACTAAGATGACCACAAGGATCCATAAAGTTGCCAAATTTATGGGATGCAACATTCCAAATTCCTATACCATGAAGATTAAGGGACAAAAGGGCTAGATCTAGAGACAAGTAACATAAAAATCGAATCTTGAGGACTTACAAAAGTCCAGAAAACATGCACAAGGTGGATGGGGAGAGTTGCTTGCTAAAACAAAGCCCAAGAGTACCTTCTTCTTCTTCAATACACCATCAAACACCACAAAAACTCAAGAGTTAGCAATGGAGGCTAGCGTTTTTGCTTATAGGGCTGAGGGAGAATGTTAGAGGTTAAGGTTGGGCAACCCTAGCCATCACATCCATTAAATAGGGGCACAGACCAAAGATTAGGGTCTGCCATCAAACAACGGCCACACCATAGCAAATAGATCGTCACGTCGTGACACTTACTTATTTTTCACACAATTATTGACCTTGGCCACGTCGTGGGACTCCATCACCACGTCGTGGCCACCAGAAATCCAAAATTCGAAATATTAATTTACTTAAAAGAGACATACCCGAAACTTGACGTTATAAGCTTTATGTTGAAGGCAATTATGTGTATGCATTGTATATGTATTGTGGTATATGGTATTTTGGGGAACTCACTAAGCTTCGTGTTTACCCAGTTGATTATAAATGTTTTTCAGGTACTTCATTGATTCGTAACCTTGGCCATGTCGTGGGACTCCAACACCACGCACTGGCCACTAGAAATCCAAAATGCGAAATATTAATTTACTTAAAAAAGACATACCCAAAACTTGGCGTTACAAGCTGTATGCTGAAGGCCATTATGTATATGCATTGTATATGTATTTTGGTATATGATATTTTGGGAAACTCACTAAACTTCGTGATTACCAAGTTGATTAAAAATGTTTTTCAGATACTTCATTAATTCGTGAGTAGGGCAAGGTTCGACCGTACACACGCGCATTCGCAATATGTTTCCGCATATTGTAATTATACTCTGATATATTGAATAAATAAAAATGAAAATTTTGGGTTGAAAATCGGGACGTTACAAAGTAAATGTAAGATGATAGAGTCGGATGATTTGAAAAAGGAATGGAGTGAGCGGGTCCTATCGTCGTACCCATTTTTCAAGGTTGAATTCTAATGTCGTGGTTGTGTTAACCAAAATGGAGATCTCGTGAAGCTTAGGCAAGATCTAATCCAAAGTCTCCATTTGTCTTCGAAGGCCATTTGTGCCATCGTCTGAAGAATGTAGTTCCAATTCAATGTTTCAAAGGCTTTTTTCAAAATTAAATTTAAAAATCATCAATTCATTCTTTGTTTTTCTACTCCAATAACAAATTTTTATTGATAACGAGAAAGCCATCAAGAATATTTTGACCGGCTATGAAAGCCTATTATCACCAACTTGAATCTATTTGCAAGAACATTTACAATTACTTTGTATCAACAACCGATAATATCTTACGATTCTTATCACACTTCCATTATGCTGTATTTCGATTTTTATAATCATGGTTTATAGAAAAATTGAGGTATTCGCTTAAGAGAATAATACAATTTACACCATAGTTAAACAAAAGATTACAGTCTTCCATATAAGTTATAACCAGATACACCCTATGAATTGTTATTTTAGAAACTCAAGACATAGAAAATAGTAGAGATAAGCAAATTCAAAATATTATCTGATTATTTTTTTGCCATATACCTCGTAAAAGAAAACGATATTACGTGTAGGATTGTAATTGGAGTTGGGTATGGTAGGCGTTATTTTAATTCTAATCTCATAGATATTTATAAATTTTAATACTTGAAATATCAGAAAGTATAATGATATAAAAATAAACGAAAGAGAGTGGGGCAGATGCATGTATATTGTGTGTTTCTGTGTGTATTTGAATATTGGACGGCAAATTATTTAAAGAAAACGAATAATGAAAGTGGAAACGTGTAGGGAGATAGATGAAGAAAGATCCACGTCAGTAGATGAAACACGTGTCGTGGTACAGGGGGCTTTCAAGGGCTTCTGATATTCCGAGAGCCCGTCAATCAACCTTGATAACCGGTCCCACATGTGTCCCCACTTTCCAACTTGTTCAACTTCTATACACTATTGCTGTCTCTTTTTACATTATTTATGTTTTTTATAATTTTTTAGACCTTTTCATCGAAAAAGAAATCCATATACACTTTATTTTATTAAAATTATATGTATTTCATTTTTATTAAGATCACAAACTAAAAATTTGTTAATAACCGATAAAGTGAGAAGCAATAGCCATATATTTGAATATGGTCATAAAAAAGTTTTTTTTTTTTAATTGGTTTCAAATAATAACGTACTTTTTGTCTGTTCAAAACTTATATGATGATCTATTAGAAATTTTATGCATACTTAATTGAACAATTGAAAGAAGATACATAAATCTCTTTTCATATTGATTTTTTGGATAAAAGATTTTATTTGATTGAAATGTATACGGGTAGATCTTACCAACTTATCAACAAGCAATCAAGTCTTACTAAAGGAGAAACGGATAGAATATCGGGTTCGGGTGCCCATAGTTTTGGACCACATCCGTGTCATAAAAGGGAGCTTATTTGTTATTTGTCTGAAGTAAACCGTGTTGGCTGCTGATTGGGCCACGTATTGGTCACCTGTAAACTTCCCACGTGGTGGTCTAAGAATATCACAGCATAAAGATTTTATGAGGCGATCAACGGCTGAGATTCCATGTTGGTGTTCAGATTTCTACGTCATACCAACTATACATGTCGGATGGGTCTTCCCGTGACGGTGACGGGCAGCTGTCCGTCCCTACCACTCCTCCAGCAGGTATAATATGATCTCTTCTCCATCCTCCTTCTCACAAAACTTATTATATTTTTTTTTCTAATCCCTCTCTATCTACTCTAGTGTTGTTCGTTTCATTAAAGATTTCTCATATCTCATCTTCTTCAGCTTTAATCACTCCAGTACTCCTTTGCAAAGGACTGAAATTGATTGGATTTTGGAAGTATTGAAAAGATTTGATATAGATGGCTGGTATGTGTTGTGGCGTTGTAGGTGAGACAAATACGACATCGCCGGTTGAGCCTAGCGGTGGTCGTCAAGGGAGGCGTCGCCGGATGGAAATTCAACAACTTAAGTTCCTAGCGGCTGCGGCATCTGACGTGGTGATGCCTCCACCTGACAGTAGTACTAGGAAGCGAAGAAAGGCTGGAAGTATCGAGACGATTGAAACTACTACTGGTGGTGATTTTGGTTTACCTAACCCGAAAGAATTCCAGAAAGCAGTCCAATCTAGTGATATGAAAACGGTGGAAATCGGTCCTTGTGGTCGTGGAGCATGTGGAACGTCGTCGGAGACTTTGGGAGAGGATGGGTTGGATAAGGAAAACTCTAGATTTGGTCTCACTGTTGTGTGTGGAAGGAGGAGAGATTTGGAAGATGCGGTTTCTGTAAAACCGTCGTTTTGTAGAACTTCTCGTAGTTCCGACGATCTACACTTTTATGGCGTTTACGATGGCCATGGCTGCTCACATGTAAGTAATTAATCCGATTTACCAAGCAAATTTACTTGTAGAACACCCTTTCTGTGTATACTGAATTACTTTTTGTTTTTTTTTTTAGGTGGCAATGAAGTGCAAAGACAGAATGCATGAAATAGTGAAGGAAGAAGTAGTGAGTTGCGAGAAATCCATGGAATGGAGGGAGGCGATGGTAAAGAGTTTCTCACGAATGGACAAGGACATAACCGACTGGAGCAACTCTGCATCAAGATCAAACTGTAGATGCGAACTTCAAACTCCACAGTGCGACGCCGTCGGATCCACCGCCGTCGTTGCGGTAGTGACACCAGAAAAGATCGTCGTCTCCAACTGCGGAGATTCGCGTGCAGTGCTTTGCCGGAACGGCGTTGCCATTCCTCTCTCCGTAGATCATAAGGTAGTACTATATATCTTCTATCTTCCCCGTTGATTCAGGATCTATGTATAATTGATTATTGTACGATTCCTTAACATATATATTGTTTGCTGAATGTATAGCCTGATCGACCCGATGAACTTGCGAGAATCGAAGAAGCCGGTGGTCGTGTTATATATTGGGATGGCGCTAGAGTTCTCGGCGTTCTAGCCATGTCTAGAGCAATCGGTATGTACCTGTTATTCGTTAAAATTCCCTTTGATACCATATATGAGATCTGGAATTCGATCGACTAAATACTTTGTGTAACTCGTTTGTTTTCAGGCGACAACTATCTGAAGCCGTACGTGATACCGGAACCGGAAGTAACCGTAACGGAGCGGACGGCCGACGACGAGTGCCTTATCCTTGCAAGCGACGGCCTGTGGGATGTTGTATCAAACGACGTAGCATGTAGTGTGGCCAGCATGTGCCTGAGGTCACAGGAGGTTCCATCTCCGCCGCGGTCTCCCGGAAGTGAGTTGAATGTTGCCCGTGGTGAGAGCTCCGACAAGGCATGCTCCGATGCATCGGTGCTTCTGACGAAATTAGCCTTGGCTAGACGGAGCACGGATAACGTCAGCGTGGTGGTGGTTGATCTACGGAGGAACTTATAACCTCTGTTACGAGATTCTTATTTTTATTTTCAAAATTCGAAGCATCATTTTGTTGTTTGCATAAGATATAACATTGGTGGTTCGAAGATGAAGAAGGATTTGATGTATTGTTAACGATATAATATAAAATGTATATAGTTAGAGAGAAGTAATATACATATTATTTGAATCAGTTATTTTCCGATCAACTCCAAATTATTGTACATGGTTCAGAACAGCTACATCAATCGCATGGATTTGCGTAAATATATTTATATGAATAAAATCATAAGAATATTAATTATATGAAGTTTATAAGTTATAACTAAGTTTGTGTAATTCGTTGGGTTTAATTGTAAATTAACCCGAACGACTCCAAACATGAAGATGATAGATTGGGGCGGCCCGACAACACGGGGTACGTGTCCCATGGGAAAAAAATCAAGTATAGCTTTGAAGTTTTAAATGTTTTTTACTTAAAAAGCAAAAAGATATTTTTTTTTCAAATATAATTTGGTAATGTTAGTGTATGCTTTATAGTCTTGTATTTGTATTTTTATTTGGCCCATTCTATTTGGCCCTTTTAATCAATGAAAGGTGATCTTCATCAGAAATAGCAAGATTACATGGTATTAGAGCATATCAAACTTTCCTTAAATTTCTCTAAACCTAATACCAAGGTTACAGGTAATTTACCCATCGAGTGATGCAAAAAAAAGAAAGGAAGCATAAATGCAAAACTCAAACTCATGATGCAAAGAGAGAAAGGAGGAAACGTGTTATGGGACACGTTGACATGTCCCCACATGAGAAATTTCATGCATAAGGAAACTTTTTCCGAGTGTTGGTAATCTTCGACAGTTTCATCATGTTTTTTTGTATGATTATAGGAAGAGCCGAAGAGGAACGTGTTATGCATTATCGCTTCATTTCTCTAATTCTACACCGTTTTCTCTATATTTCTGCACGAAATTGCAACCTGCTATGCTATCTATACAACAGTCTTAAAGGTATACAACTGAACATCACTTGCTGAAGTGGAAGTTGGGCGTTGGGGCGGAGCCAGAATGTTCAGTGTATATATATATATATATATATATATATATATATATATATATATATATATATATATATATATATATATATATATATATATAAAAGTTCAATAGAGAACCATTATTAACCAAGGAACCAAGAAACCAATCCAAAGCGTCGGAATTTAAAGCGATCAACGGCAAAAGGAAGGGTTGTAAATTTTTATAATGGACGTACATGTACCGGATTATAACAAAACTCACTTCCTTTTTTTCATTTAAAATTTTTTTTAGGCCAAGTTGTTTATCGAAAAAAAACCGAATATACAATTGTTCACGATTTTTCGTCCTCTTTCCATAGAGGTCCATGATGATATATAAAAAACGAACTTTTTTTTTCGAAAAAAACCAACTTAATTTTCTTAGTTTTTTCAATATTTAAGTTTATTTTTATCAAAAAAAAAAACTAATTATACCAAAAATATTAATTTTTTGTACTCTATTAATAAACATCAACACCGACTAAAAAAAAAACCTCGAACAGTACAGATTCACACTGTGAATCTAAACTGTAAATATTTCAATTTTTAACATTCACAATATGAAAAATCTCGAACAGTTCAGATTCACATTGTGAATCTGAATTACTATTATACACACTGTGAATCTGAGAAGGTTAAAAAAAAAAACATCGATCAGTGTAGATTCACACTGTGAATCTAAACTGTAAATATTTCAAATTTTAACATTCACAATGTGAAAAAGCTCCGACCAGTTCAGATTCACACTGTGAATCTGACTTCTTATTATGCACACTGTGAATCTAAGGAGGTTCATAATGTGAATCTGAATAGGTTTACAATATGAATCTGAACAGGTTCACAATGTGAATCTAAACTGAAATAAAGTTTTTTTTTTAACTTGAATATGAATCTATATTTAAAAAGTATAAAAAATATGAATTTTGATATATTTATTAATTTTTTTTCTATAAAAAAATAGACCTTAAATTTTTTCATCAAAGAAAATGAAATGGGTTTTTTTCGAAAAAAAAAAGTTCTTTTTTTATATATTATCATGGATCTCTATGCAAAGAGAACGAAAAATCGTGAACAACGGTATATTCGGTTTTTTTTTTTCGATAAAAAACATGGCCTAAAAAAAATTTTAAACGAAAAAAAATGGTGAGTTTTTTGTAAAGGGTGCATTTTTTGGTATAATCCGGTGTGTGTGCATCCAATGTAAAAGTGTACATCTATTTCATTGGCCGTTGATCGTTATGATTTCCAACGCTCACGATTGGTTCCTTGGTTAATTATGGTTCTCTATTGAACCTCACCCTATATATATATATATATATATATATATATATATATATATATATATATATATATATATATATATATATATATATATATATATATATATTCAGGTTCATTTGAGACCATACTAATTTTGTGAGAACATGAGATCAAATCTAAAAATAATTTTAAAATGCAAAATAAAAGGAAAAAATCCAAATTCATTTTTTAATTATTATTTTCGTCATTTTAATTACCTAAAAAAATAAAAAAATAATAAAAAAAATTAACGTTTTTTTTTGAAAAATACGTGAAATATTCTAATAGAATATTACACTGTAAATATTTTAATGTGATTTTTAGAATGTTAGAATATTCTACTAGATTTGTCAGATATGTAAAATATTTTAATATTCTACTAGAATATGTAAAAAAAGATATTATTTATTTATTTTGGTATTTTTTTAATATTTTTTTAGAAAATATTATTTGAAATTTTTTTTTTCGAAAATTTTCAATTATTTTGCATTTTGCATTTTTTTATCTACAAAATGAGTGGATAGGATTGCGTCTCACGGTCTCACAAAATTAGGTCGTCTCACATGAACCTAACCACACACACACATATATATATATATATATATATATATATATATATATATATATATATATATATATATATATATATATATATAGACAAAATTGCAAAAATGGTCCCTGTGGTATGCAAAATTTTGGGGTTTTAGTCCAAACCACGAGTTTTTTGGATCCATGCTCCTTTTGGAGTGGTTTATATGTGGTTTTGGTCCTGGACTTAACTCCCGTTAAGTAGGATCTGTTAAGCCCCCTCATGTGCCTCACACGTGAGGGTAAATTCGTCATTTCATATGTAAGGGACCATTTTTGCATAATCCGTTTTTTGGCTTATTTGACCTTTACCCTCTATCTCTCTCTCTCTCTCTCTCTCTCTCTCTCTCTCTCTCTTTCTCTCTCTCTCCCTCTCACAAATTTCTTCCTGGAAATTAAAACACGCGCACACAACTTCATCATCTTCTTCTTTGGCCTCATTTCTTATCCTCACTATCCCTGTACAGTTAGTTAATAAACATAGATACATAAAGCCAAGTATTTGGGAATCGAAGTAGAAAATAAAGCCCCCATATTTTCAAATCTTCCTCCCAATCTAGAAAAAAAACCCAAAATTTTCATCAAAATCAAGTTCAGATAAAAAAAAATACAGAAAGCCATGTATCTGGGATAGTTGACGACTTAAAGCTAGCCCCCCTGCACAAGATCGTATCTCTCAGACCGTTGTGAATTTACACCCAAATGCAGGTTTCCGGCGATGGGGTAATTGTGGAATGTCTCTCTCTTTAAGAACTGTTATTGCCTCTCGATTATGTCACCATGTTCATATTCAATCTAAACAATGCTTTCTAGAAGAAATCAAGCACGTAGAAGAAATAATTCACCCGTGATCAGAAGAAATCAAGCACGCAGAAGAAACCTATAAGGTTACTAGTTCATCAGGTTTGATTTCAGGTTTTGATTTGTTTTGATTTTGGGTTACTAAGGTATTGAGGTGGATAGATTTGGAAATTGGTATTCTATTCTATTGTGTGTGTACAACCTAAAATGTCGATCTATTTTTCTTCCATACCTAGTCTTTCATTCTGATTTCTGTGTTTGATTACATGGAACACAATTTTCGATTTTGATTCCAAAGTTTAATTTCATGGAACACAGCCACCACCAAGTTTCAGCTCCACCCTGCCACAGTCGGCACCCTCTACCGGAAGCCCCTCAATTGCGCCTCAAGTTCATCCTAAAATTCATGTAACCGTCTTGCTCTCTTCCCATTCTGTTTTAGTTCCCAATTTTTCCTCCACTGTCGACGGGATGAAAGGGTGGGAGTGTTTCTTTGATGGCAATGGTTTCTTTGGGGAAATTGTTTTGATTTTGGCAGATAATCTGCTTCTGTGAGTACATTTATAAGTTTAATTGAGGATGATGGATTGAATATGCCAAATTGGGGGTATTACGAACCTTCATCCCTACCACTTCAACCTCCCAAATCTGGACTATTAAAGATGTGACGGATGATTTTGGAATCGATTACAGATGATGCTGATGCGATGGCTGGTTCATCCCAAGGACATGATTTTGAAGTCTTTGATTAATCCAAGTTGCAGTAAGATAATCGAACCAGGTGTTGTTGGGAATATTTGGCCGCTTTCTCTTCAAATCCACCCCTCGATCTACAATCTGGTGACGAAGAACGTCAGAGCTAAGTAGCAAATTGAGATCGTGAAGCTGTTTGGGATCACGATGTACTGTGGTTTGACCTGGCAGCTCCGTCTTCGACAATTATGTTTGTTTTTCTTAGTGGAATTGCTTATTGTTTAATTGAGTTTGTATTTGTTAAGAGAGAGAGAGAGAGAGGGGGGGGGGGGGGGGTAAAGGTCAAATAAGCCAAAAAACGGATTATGCAAAAATGGTCCCTTACATATGAAATGACGAATTTACCCTCACGTGTGAGGCACATGAGGGGGCTTAACAGATCCTACTTAACGGGAGTTAAGTCCAGGGGACCAAAACCACATACAAACCACTCCAAAAGGACCATGGATCCAAAAAACTCGTGGTTTGGACGAAAACCCCAAAATTTTGCGTACCACGGGGACCATTTTTGCAATTTTGTTATATATATATATATATATATATATATATATATATATATATATATAATTTCATGTTTAGAAAGTTTTATATCATATTATTTAGTATTAAAACATTATACTGCTTTTCATGGTTTTAAGGTGAATACAAACTTTTTAAATTAATAATACCTAAATCATAAAAACATATATTATAAATAAAGAAAAGTGATTGTAAACAGTGTACTATT